AAACACCAATGGAATTCTGCTTTCCAACCATCTGAAAGCATCAGAATCAGCATGCGTTTGCATGCAAACACCAATGGAATTCTGCCTTCCAACCATCTGAAAGCATCAGAATTAGCATGCGTTTGCATGCAAACACCAATGGAATTCTGTTATCCAAACCTTTCGGAGCCAGCCCCTACCCAAAGGCAACAACACAACAACACACACAAACCAAACATACCCCCCAGAAAAGGGAAAAAAACAACACACACACGCGTGCACTCAAATGAAATCCTTTTCAGCGTTTCTTCTGTTCAACAAATTTCTGCTTCAAAAGAAGCAGGTATCTTTGCAGACCCCGCTTTGCGGTGGTCTTCCGATGAGTCTTTCTCACCATCCTTGCAATCTTCTTAATCCAGTCCTCGTCGCCCCAGGTTGAATCCTGGGCTGGATTCCTGCGCGATTTCCGCAATTGGGCATCCAAAGCCAAATGAACGACCAAATGGAACTTTGGTCTGATTTTCCAGACCTTTGGTTCCAAATGAACATGCTGGACATACAGTTTGCAGAAAGATTCGCCCAATATCCGAACTTGGGCAGCCATCTCATCACAGAAAAAAGCAGGCCCTGCGTTCAACAGTCTGGCAAAGCTTTGCGCGCACCAAACCATCGTAGCCATCAGTGTAAAGGAATCATCTGCGCACTGTTCCAATTCACTACTCAGCCACTCTAAGATTATGTAGCTGTCGTAGCCCTTGGCGTGCAGCTCCTTGGCAGTCACCCGCCGACTAGGTAAAACCAAGGAGGGAAAGACGTTACAAAGGAAAAAACAAGGAAAACTTGAGAAACGCATCTGCAGGACAGGGTGTTTACCACTCTTGAGGTTGAGGTTGTCTTGCGTAAACTTACGTAGGGCTGTTCTCTTCCCAAACCTTTGGCAAAACTCTCTCAAGCGGTGGCTCGCTTGCCAAAGACGCCTCTCTAACTTCTGCCTGCCAAACCATCCACCACGTATCAGCTTGTGCATAACCCCTCCGATCCTAAACGCGCGACCACATGCAATGAGCAATCAAAACGGTGAAAAACAATGTTGAACACAGAACTAGTGCTGCCAAACATCAAGTCCCTGCAGCAACCCAAATGCCAAATGTGTAAGGCATCATAGCCAATCCGGGTCACCTGAAAAAAATATAGACCAGCAACTGCCGGCTCTACGGTCCATGGCAAAGGACTTGTCCAAATCGTTGATCTCCATGGCGCTGCAGCCGATAAATCTGTGAGGTTGTACTCACCCTGCTTGCTTGCAAGGCAGCAAAAACATACCTGACATCAAGACTTGACAGGCACACCGTTACACCCCAAAAAATCAGAGCAACAGTTGATGCCAGCAGAGTGCCTCATGCGTTTGTGGATGTCTCGTCAGGTTCATGCATTGCTTCAAGAATTTCCAGTCTCCACGCAGTGTGCTGAAGATAAGTCGCCCAGTCCATCCCTTACTGGGCCGCATCAACAACCCCAAAAAGAAGACTTCAACACCAAAACCACAAAGGTGGCCCGAGTGTCTTTCGGATCACGGCCTTCTGGGTCATAGGTACCAGTGGAAGAAATTGGGATGCCATCATCTGCAAGTTGGTTCAAAGAATCCACGGCATAGCGAATCACAGCTTGGAGTGTGTGATTTGTTTTGCCCGCCTGATTGGACAAGGGCCGAGCCCCACAATACACCACCAACCCACCCATCAAAAGAAAAAATTCAGCTAATAAAACCAAAACGCTATCCAGTACCGATCTGAAGGGATGATGCAAATCAAAAAGCGTGAGAGAAGGGAGTCACTGCTGCACTTGTTGAGCTGCGGGTGGAAATGCAACTTCATGCAGGAGGCCCTGAAAATGGTGGACTCATCTCCATAGAGGGCGAATGGTGCATCATGCTCTGGATCGACTGCGGACCTTTCGCTGGGCGAAAGATCTTTCATCATATGCCCCCAGAACTCAATCCTGTCAGTCTTTGTGCCAAAAATTTTGTCATAGTGCCCTTCACGCACCAAAGCGATAGCAAGGTTATGTGGAAGCAAAATAGGCCATGGAATGATTTCCATCTCTCCATCTTCTCCAGCAACTGGAATATCCAGCATCGATATCTCAACTTTGAGCGCCAAATCTGCGTTTGCAGCTTTGCGGTGGACACGGAACTCTGGAGTTTTGGTCGATGAAGCGCCAAACACATTGCTGCTATAAATCCGGCCCACGCGGTCTGCCAAGACCTGGGAGACATCGCCTGCCCCAATTGCACGAGCAAGCCTCGAACAGACATCAAGTTCATTCGTTCCAAAATGCTGGCTTGCAAACAATCAACTATATAGCATCAAGAAACTCTCTGTCCAAACATCTCCGGGCATTTGCATCGAAGCCTCCAGAAAGAAGAAGGTAGCATCTATCAATCATATGTTGAATTTGACAGGGTGCGATCTCGTACAATGAAATGATTTGGCAATTTTTCCACAGTCTTCGCTGGCTCACATCTGGTTCTGACTCCATGCATCCACAGGTTTTCCCGTGGATGGCTGCAAACCCCAGGCATGCAGAAATCTGCATTGCATACCCACATGAAAATGCTCACTTGTCCTTTGCCTTAGGGCCCAAAGAGCACAGCCCAAACGTACGAAGGAAGCAACATACACATGAGGTTTGCCAAGGTGCGATTTCACGGGCGACCGCCTTGACTTGTACCCGCAACATCTTGGACTCATTGATCTGAGCAACTTGAGGGATGTATGAAGAGTTAAAACATACGTACATAAAGACTCAATTCAGGCCTTCTTCTTGCACTCCTCCATCGTGCGATCGAACTGACTTTGTGTCAGGACATCAAGGTCGAGATCTTTGGTCTCATCCATGAGGTTTCCAAGCTGCACCTTCATGGAGTTGAGCTGCTTTCTCAACTCATGGCCTTTGGGCAAGTCCATTGCGCAAGCTGTCCCCAAATATTCCTTCCTCAAATCCACACCTCGGCCATGAAGGTGAAAGCGGAAGATCCAAAATAATGAGTAGCCACTTTAATGCAGCACAGGCGCATGCATCACTGCAAATCTCTTCCCATGTCTTGGGCTCTAGAGGCTTGGTGTCCTTCTTGGGCTTGGTTGCAGCCTTCTTCGGCCTCCTGGGCTTCCCCCCCTTGGGCTGCTCAGGCTCACCTGAGGTTGGCATCAAGCAACCACACAAAAAAATACCAGGGAACCCTGCCACACATACATCCAAGAAACTGTTCTGCGCGGGTTTCTGCTGCAGCTGTGCGAGGGCTGCTGACATGTCTAATGGCCGGGTAGCGGTAGCTATGCGCCTGTTAGTCAAGCCGGGCAGCACCGCTTCCATTCCACCCGAGTCTGCTCGAAGTCTGTTCTTGGCCACCACACTGACCGAACTCTTCTCTCGGTGGTTCCGCTTGATGTGCACATGGACCCAGTACCTTGCCTCCTCAAGGATCTCTGGGTGGTCCTTGTCCAAGATGGGATTTTGGGTTGCCACCACAGCTGCGATTTTCCGCCTCATTAGAGCGGCTGAACAGAGCAATATGAAAATAGCCCAAATTATAGATTGAAAACGTGCCCTGTCATGCTAAAATGCTTGCGAGCTTCTCTGAGATACCGGCACGTTTCATGCCTTCCACCGTCAACAACTGCTCTTCGGCGTCATAGTCCTCTTCCGTGGATCTCTGCATGGTCAGCATCATTTCACACTTTTCTGGAACTTCTCCGCTCTGTAGCCACTGGTGCAAGAGCTCCCTTCTTTCCTTCAAGGTGCCCTGAAACATAGCAGCCATGTTGGGGGCCTTGACTTCATCCGAGTGATCTTCCATGTGCCTGCGCATTCTCATATGCAACTTTCTGCAGTTGCTGCTGTTGATCAAAGAAATCGGTACTTTTCCCTCCGCGTACATCTCCAGGATGGCATCTGGAAAAGTTTTCAATGGTGAACGAAAAATCTAGCACCTACTGAAAGAGGCTCAACAAACAACCCAGCAAACACATACTCAAAAAAGCAAAGCACCTTCATCCATGGTCTTGAGGTCTTCCTTGGTCAAGACGTCAGGTGTGCCCGGAACTGTGTCGCCTTCAGGTGAAGCATTTTCTGCAGGAGGTGGCAGAAGACCAACTGTAGCCAAAGCCGAGGCGTTGGCCGCAGACTTATCAGACAGCTGCTCTGGAATGGTTGGCACTTCTTTCTTCTCAGGATCCTGAACCGCAGCCTCACCTTCTTGGCTTGTAGGTTCCACAGCCTTTGTTTCCTCAGGTTGGGTGGGAGCAGGCTCATTTTTCTCACCACTAGCCTGACTTGAGGCATCAGGCAAAGCAAGCATAGCAGTGGATGGAGTAGCTGTCTTGGACTCCCTTGTCTGATCCTGACTTGCACCACCGGCAGGAGTGGACGGAGTAGTTGGCTTGGCTTCGCTTGTCTGACTCGTCTGACCTTGCATAAGACGCAGTAGCTCTGCAGCGATGTTCTGAGTAAACACTTCACTGGCTGAGCCACCAAGCCTGAGTTGGAACCGGGCCCAAATCAAGGAGAAAGTGGCCGCCAACAACAACAACAACAACAACAACTGACAAAAGCAACCATAGGTACCCAGCAAGCAACGAAGCATATAGCTCGCTTTCCGTTTGCGATTCCTGGGAATTCTTCTCAATGATGGCGGCAAGCGACTGTGCCACCATTTGCTCCTGACCTTTCAGCAAAGTCGCCAAAGAAGCTAGCGAAACCTGCGAGTCGCCAGGAGAAGTCTGCTCTGCTGCTGGTGTAGGGCTTTGCTGCTGTTCTGGCTCTGTTGGCTTCTGCTCTGGCTCTGCCGGCTCTGCTGGCGTTTGCTTTGTTTTCCTTGTCTTGCTTTTGCCGGGCTTAGCTGTGCCTTCCTCCTCCGTTACCTCGCACCTTACCTTCTTCTGTTTCTTCGCCGGCTTCTCAGGAATGGGTTCCGCTTCTTCTTCAACCTCCTCCTCTACATATTCCTGCGTTTCATCTTCCTCTTCCTTCACCATTTCCTGCTCATAGTCCCTCTTTGCCTGCTTGTCCGTTTTTTCTTTTGCGCACCTTTTGCCTTTGCCTTTGCCTTTGCTTTTGCTGCTGGTTGCTCCTTAGGGGGCTTCTCCTTGTTCATTTTTGTTGACTTCTTGGTTTTTGTTTCCTTCTTACCTTTGCCTTTGTCCTCTTTTGACTTCAAGTGGCGTTTCTTCACTGCCTTTGAGTCCTGCGCCATAAACAAAGCACCGGACATGTTGAAACCATGAAACGGTGTCCTTCTCTGGTGAAGTGGATGCCAGGCGCAACTTCCCTTTCTGTTTGGGTGTCTCCTTGAACAAAAGGACGCAGGTCGCAAGAAAGAAGTCGCAACGAACCGTGGCCAACCCCTACTTCCAACCAAGGATCCAGATCCTTGCTCTTGAGCGCGCGCACGACCTCCGCCGCTTCCTCTTGTGTCAGGCCATGTTCGGCCATGATATCGTTCACGTCAGGCACCATATTGGGTCGATGAGATACACTTCAAGGCGATCAGAGCTTCAAATGAGCTACACAAACCCACACAGCTGGAAAAAAACATCACCGTGTGTTGATTTCCAATTTTCACGGATTTCACGCGAAAATTCTTGACAAATGGCGTTTTATTTTCAACAAATCACGCGTTTTCACGCAATTTTTTCCGACTGGAAATTCATGAAATGCTTGATTTGCAGCCCAGTGCTCAATAAGCACCTAGCACGAATTGATCCTGATCAAGCCCAGTAGCTTGATGTATGCCCCAATTGAAAGCTATAAGCCAGCACTCCCCCATGTACCGACTCAGCATTCCTTATTTGCACATGTTTGCCAATTGAGTTTTCCCAAAATGTGCATCAGAAGGACACCTTGACAAATCACCGCTTTGCATCTCACATCGCCAAGAGAAGCACTGTCAATATAAAACCAGACAAGTTACAGGAACCAAGGAGAATTTCCCACTCATCATCTGTTTGTGGTAGCGCAGGCTCTGATGCAACCCGTTGGTCACCTCAACTGCAAATGTTCAGTCCAGTGGAGAACAAAACCTGGCATGAGAAGTCTTTCAACAAAGCGTCGCAAATTTGACACAAATGAAAGCAGGCAAATAATCACAGCTCTTCAAAAAACCCTTGCGGCGTCAAACCACACCCAATCAAATGACACTTCTTCGCCTTTTTCACTCTCTGTTTCAATCTAGTCCTGCGATATCATTCGATATCCTCCACATGGCCATCATGGCCTGGCGCATCCGCCGGAGGTGAAGGCGACTGAACGCCAGCTGGCCCAATGGGGTCAGCTTGCTCTTGTACCAGCCTAGGCCGCTTCTTCAGTGGTGCTGGAGGCTCTTCCCCTTCAATCTCTGTGTCTATCTCGTCAGGATTCGATGCCACTTCTGATTCACCTGATTCACCCGGACGCTGTATTTGAAGCTCTGCTTCCTCGATAAGGACCTCGCCCGCTTTCTCAAACAGCTGGTCCAAACAGTCATGAATGCTGCGGACTGCCTCATTTCCACAGACCCCAGGTTCAAAGACCCTGCGCCCAAATAGTATCAAGGCCCCTGCCTTTGACCCTATATAAAAGAAGAACACATAAGTGGACCAAAAACTTTAGGAAACAAAAGGAAAACCAAACCTGGGCAAAGACTAGGTGCCCTCTTGGTCTCATTCTCGAACGCTCGGATGACCTGGTCCAATTCGTCTTGCTTGCAGCGCTTTCTGCGGGCTTCAAAGTCATTCAAGCCCACCCTCAAGCACAACATCTTGACCATGATCGCAACGATATCTGCTCGCAACTCTCGGATCAGGTGTGCCATGTCATCCGGAGCATTGCGCGCCCTGTGAAATCTACGAGTGTCCATCCTGTTAAAAACTGGGAGCCACACTAGCTGCACTGGCGCTTGCCGGTGACAAATAGGAACGACGCTGAACAGACCATGCAGCCGAGTCGCCTGGAAAAGTCACTTTGAGCAGATTCACCCAACGTCCCGGAAGGTTGTTGCGAACCGTGTTGGACGACAAGAGGTAGTTGAGTAGATCAGAGATCTTGGCCTGTCAAACTTGACAGCCCATATTGCTTCTAAAGCGGTCACCAAAAACATCTCTGCTACTCAAACATTCAATCTACAGAAAGCCCAGGGACGTCAACCCACATGTCGCCCTCAAGGTTCCAGTTGTGGTCCACGCAATGCTTTCTGAAGAGTTCATACTCCGTCAAATCATGTTCAACTGGAGAAGGGTCTCGCGGACTCTGCTCAAGTTGGTGGTCTTCCAGGGCCACCATGATAGAAGCCACAAAAGCCCCGAACTCATGAGTGTAGCTCCTTACACGTGGATGAACCAGTGCCAGCCAAACCGTGGTTCTTTGTATCCTTCCCCAAAATAGTTAAAGGACTCTTTTCCAACAAAGGGCAGTATAGTGGAGAACACCTGTGGCTTCAAAAAGCGCAACATTATTAATGGAAAATTCAATACCCACAAAATTATCCCCGTTGAAGTTCGTTCTGCCACGTCTGTGAGAAAAAAACATAAAAATATGGCAATGTCTGGAAAGCATCTGTGACTCTTTAAGCTTTGGCTTGATGCCAGTGGTACGAAGTACACCCTGCTTGTCCCAATGCTTCTTGACCAAGGGGCCGCCACTAAGTTGTTGCCGTTTACTTTTTGGCAAAGTCCCTCCTCTGTTCTCCAAAGCCGCAATGATGGTTCGATCGTTGCAAAGTATCATGTGACGTTTGGGGGTTGGCCCCCCAAATGCGCCCATCCACAATCCACCCTTGAATACCTGGCGAGACAAAAAGCAAATTAATATTCACTTCTGAGTGGAGCTGTTTCAGAACAGCGCTTAATGAGACCAAGTTACAGGCACATTGGCAAAGAGTTCCTGCACACGGGGCATCGCCTCCAGGATCGAGCCGTGCGGTTGCTCCAAAATGAAACGTAGCTGGAGAAGAGCAGAGAGCCATAGCAGAATCACGGTTCTGGAAGAAAGTAAGTTTCCAAGCTTGACAAAGTCATAGTTTTCACAGCCAAATGGTAAAAATTGGGTGCGACCTGAAGTAGATCTTGACCTGCAGGGCGCCGGCTACCAACAAAAAACCACTTGGGCAAGCCTGTCAAAATGTTTCATGAACATGCCGAGGCACATCCGGCAAAATGAATTGCACAGAAGAGCGGCCACCACCAAGCCTCCCATCTTTACACGGCAAATCTGTGAGAGAGCCAGCCTGACACAGAACAGGGTTGACTATGACTCTGACACTGACTGCTGTTCCACATTGACTGTTAACAAAAAATGCTCTACAAGAGAAAAGTTGTATCAACCTTTGACATCTCCAAGTGGCAAAAAACCTGCGCTTGAACTTAGGTCTTGGGTGCGTGGGTCGTAGGTGATGTCCACAGACACTCCACAATATTCGACCTCACCAAGTCAAACCACAAAACTTCAAAAACGATCCATGAAACTGAGGCAGCCAGCAACATGATTCAGCCAAGAGGCTTGTCTGAGTCCAAAACTCAAAGCTCCACAGCCGGCAAAGAACTCCGCGAAGTCAATGGGCGTTGGCGAAATACTCCCACTGAATTGCAAGAGGAGCATGGTGAATATCACACACGGTGGAATATTCCACCGGAGCATCTCTGACACAGCTGGCGTGGGCATCTTCCGCAAAAGCTAAATGTCTCTGCCCAAACACTGAACCCTTGACCAAAAAAGGCTTGATACCATGAGTTGCGAAACTGCAAATGCAGCATGATTCAATGGCTTCACACAGAAAGAAACAAACGATCAGAGAAATCGCAAAATCGCAATGCCATTTTGCCACACCCCAGGCAAAACCAGTTTGGAAACCGGAAACCTAGACAAAGCGCCTCTTCTTGCGCTCTGACTCGGACAGAGTTGCCAAGAGTTCCTCGCGAACCTTGGACTTCTTCCACAAATCCATCGCCTCCTTGTGCGATACCCCCTTTGACTTTTCTTCCTTCAAGAAGGAGTCATACAATGCCCTGAAAGTACCGGCCTGATATGATTTCACCTCTTCAGGTTGAAAGTCAATCTTCCTTTCCACAATGGCAACCACATTTTGGACTCGGTCATTGAGTTTGATATTCTCACTCTTGCCACCGCCAACCTTTTTTGATTTCTTTTTCGGTTTTGCTTTCTCTTTAGGTTTCCGTTCCTCTGCATCCTCGACCTCGATCTTCTTCACTGGTGGAGGGGCTGCCAAATTCTCCAACGCGGCAAGGACCTGTCAGGAAAGCTGGTTCTGAAAGCATAGCGGCGTAGCGAAGCTACAAACAGTGGCCAAAAAAAAGATTAAAAAGAAAGATATGACAAGAACTCTTCATCTCTATGTCTATAAGTGTTGGTGTGGCTAGTCTGGGAGTTTGTGCAATTTCATTTGGGCAAGCTGTCCTTAGGATTCATAAGCGGCAAATTCTGTTTCTTCTTGGTCTTCTCGGTATCGTGTTGGATCTTCTGAACCACGGCCAAAATTTTGCCCATGTCAAAACTGCAGCCAGAACCGTCAGAATCGCTCTCTGCTTCTCCCAAAGGATCTTTATCAATGTCCTGCTCCATTCCTTCATAGTCCTGAGATGGCAAGTCTAGACTGGGAGGAAAGCACATCAGTTCACTGCGATGTTTTTCTCCAAGCGCACATTTATTGTTGGACGGGTGGCCACCCATCCATCAATTTGATCACGGATCCATTGAAGCTCAGAGGTCTTGCTGGTCCAGCTCCGCAACGCTAATGGGCGGAACCTGGCTGCCTCAGATGCTCCGCAATTAGAAAAATGTATTACAGTATACAGTATAACGCTCAAAATTTTCATTGGCACTGGTTGTTCCAGCGAGTCTCCAACCGACTCGCCGCTAAACCCATTCGCGCGCTCCACTCGAGAATCGACGGTGATCCTTCAGAAATGCCAGGTGGATATAGGTTCTCCTGCTTGTAGAAAAGGCGAATGGCGTCGTCAATCAACCGCTTGCTGAAGTAGCCTCTGCCCCCACTCACCCGAAGCAGTGCAGCTACGACCTGAGCAGGTCTTCGAGACAAAGGAATTGGGGAAAAGAAGCCTCAGCAAACCTCTCCAAAACAAGAACCTGTGCGCCAGCCTCCTTGTTGCTTTCGACGTCTTTCAGGCTGACTTTCTTTGTGCCAGCACGCTTAAAGCAGTTGCCACTGTGGTCAACGATCAGGCTGAGCCCAACCTTATGAAGTACACAGACCAAACAGAAACCTCACTGACGCATGCTCTTCTCACATATCTCAGTCTATCGTCTATATATTTTTTTAAAAAATATATGAATCTATACCTATATCTATATTCAAACGCCAGAGGAACTCTCTTCAGCCGTGGAAAAGCTCTCAGGGCATCTGCTATATCATGGGGTCCATATGGGCATTCTCCCATTTCGAATGAACGCTGCTGGCCACCAAAAAACCGGACAAGGCTGCGGAAACAAGTGTTTGCAAGTGCCTCTTCAAACAAAAAATGCATCCCATGAGTTGCACTCTTCATTGACATCTGACATTCAAACTGCAGCGCGGTTCGCCTCCAAACGATGCTTGCACATCATCATAGCGCAGCTCATGCAGGGTGCTATCCACAGCAGACCAGCGCGGGCCAGTTGCCATGGGCGTTTTGAATCCCATTCTCTGGAAAGAACTGTTAACGAACTGTTGTTGGACAGTCGGACAGTCCAGTTTTGGAAACTGCTAAGGAACTTGCGCAAAAAACCTTTGCAAACAAAGACTCAAACACAAACGCGTGAGATTAACTTCCACCTTAAGCCACCATTTTCAGAGACTCTCCCGAACACACTGCAAACACTAACGCCACACATTCTGTGGAGCGCACTGCTCCCGACTCAATCGAAAACTCGAAAACGGACGCGCTTGCATTTGGAGAAGCTATGTGCACAGCCTTTGCAGTGGGAACATCGTATTCATTCACAGGGTGTGCAAAAAAGTTCTGTCGCACTCATCACACAAAAGCCCGCGCTACAAAACCCACTGGAATTCCTAGCGTTTGGTACCACTTGAACAGTCAAATGTTTTCTCTGCGTTTGTACACTGCTCACCAAATTATGGAGTAGCGTGCGTTTGCATGCAAAAGCCAATGGTATTCTGCTTTCCAACCATCTGAACACATCAGATTTAGCATGCGCTTGCACGCAAACACCAATGGAATTCTGCTTTCCAACCATCTGAAAGCATCAGAATT